TCTTCTACAGCTTCTTCCTCTTCCTCTGCTTCAGGTTCTTCTTCTTCCTCTACGGCTTCCCCCTCTTCTTCAACTTCTTCTTCTACAGCTTCTTCTTCTTCTTCTTCTTCTTCTTCTAAATCCTCTTCTTCTTCTAACTCCTCTTCCTCTTCTTCAAGTTCTTCTCCCTCCTCTTCTCCCTCCTCTTCTCCCTCCTCCTCTTCTTCTTTCTCTTCTTCCTCCTCTCCCTCCTCTTCTTCTTCTTTTTCTTCTTCTTCTTCCTCTTCTTCTTCTTCTCCTCCTTCTTCTTCTTCTTCCTCTTCTTCTTCTTCTTCTTCTTCTTCTTCTTCTTCCTCTTCTTCTTCTTCTTCTTCCGCAGCCTCCACATCATCTTCCTCGGTTTCTTCAACCGTTTCATCTACCCCATCTACTTCATCCACTACTTCGAGTTCAAAGTCAACAACATCGCTATCTCCTCTTACCCTTCGTGGCTGGTCCTCGACTTCGTCCACCTCTTCATCCTTAGCTACTTCGTCTGTGACTTCAACAATTTGCTCTACTTCAACTTCAGCCATTCTTGCGTTGTTGTTGTTGTTGATGGTTTCAGGTAGTTTTGTTATTTCTGCAATCGATGCACGGTCGCGTAGGTGTTGTTGTTGTTCTTGGTGTTCGATTGCTTTATTAACTGAATGTGGCCAAGTGAGTCTATTTGAGCGAATACTGTATGGAGATCGATAGCGCACACTAGAACAAAATTTAAGCGTAAGGAAAATTTCATAAAGTGTAAAGAGTTAATAAAAAGCTATGTATGTACATACATGATAAAAATATTACAAGGTAAATTCCTTCTTTCGATTCGTCGGCCCTGATTTTTTTCAGACGTTTGCAAACATTCGAAAATCATATAAAATTGAAAATCAAAAAATGAAATTGTCCACAATTGTTGTTGTTTGAGATTGAAAATGAGAATGTGTCTGTCAAACTGCCTCTCAATGGTTTTACCTTGTTATGTTTTTATCATGCTTATGTACATATGTATAAATTAGGAAAATATTAAAACTTGCGTGGATAGTTAGAATAGAACCGACGAGTTTTTACCCTTTACAGCAACAGTAGTTGGAAATATTACTTTTCTGCTGGAGTGTTTGGGAAAAATGCACGAAGATTTTAAGAAGAGTCAGCCATTGAACTTCGCAAGAGACTATTTCGGCAGAGGAAAAGTCTTGTCGTCCAGGAACATGGAAACGCTAGGGACCCAGCTCCCAGAAATGAAATAAACAATGCAGTCGTTTTCGAAAAGAATTGCACAATAAAACACACATGCGCAGGCAGTGGTTCCAAAAAGGCACTGCCTCCGGATAGAATTATCTGCACCTGAGGGGAAGTTCAAGGTAATTTACCGGGAGGAGGTCTTGCCATTAAGTCTGTTTGCAGATATTAATTTCCGTAGAAACTACTGTAATGAGGGAATATTTATCCTTAGCGACAGTACTTGAGTTCATTGAGAATGTAAATGCATTGCTGCTTCTTCGTCCCAGGTCACAATGATATAGAGGGAAATATTTTGCGGACAGATTAGCTTGGAAGTCAGTTGACTCAACTTCTTTAAGTCCCGAACTATGTATTCCTTGCAGTAGGTCATAACACGATGAAGGAAGAGCTCAGGAAATATGAAAGCACAATAATAAGAATAATAAGAAGTAACTGAAGATTGTCACGGGTATCTTCACGGAACACTTCAGGCTCTGTTAAGGAGACGCCACTACATACGTGATTCGTGAGTGTGAGTCAGTGTTGAGACGTCGAGAAAAAAGTGTCGGCGTAATGTGGCCAAAGGATAAGCAAAAGCTAATCTGAAGAAGTGTGTGGATATATGTATGTACATACATATATATCGTCGTTTAAAGTACAAAACCGCGTATCAACAAAATGCAAAACCGCGTATGTGAATTATGTAAATTATCTTCTACAGAGTAAAAACACTCATATTTCAAAATGGTTCTCTTTTTTATTATTTTTTACTGCTTTATGCAGTGGCATTTCTGGCTAGTATATTTCAGGACGAATGGATAAGGATTGAGCCAAGAGCTTGTGTGAGCAAATCCAATTTTTGGCAGCTAATGCCAGTTATGCGGTTTTGCAGAATGACGATACGCGGTTTTGTACTTTAAACGACGATATAATGCTAATCCAAAGGCTACGTAGTAGTGACCGCATGAATTGTAGTAGTTATTTCCATTGAATAATTTCCATGAAAATAATGACCACGCCTTGTGTCTTAGCGGCCAGAAAAAACTCGCTAAACCACAGTTTAGTTTATTTCATGAAAATTCCGTTTGGGTAAAAATGCCCAAATATATAAATTTTGTAGAAGGAATTTCAATTTGTTATTTTTGGTGATGAAAAAAAACTGCAGTTCATCCACGACAAAATTATGTCATGGACAGCCTAAAGTTTTTTTCGCGAGAAGAGAAATGAAATACATACAGTGAAACCCGCTTAAGTACCTCCCCGCTTAAGGCCTGTATGCAGCTCTCAAGAAAAGCAAAAACTTCCACATAAAATGACGTAAAAGAAATGGCTAAGAAATTTTCTTGAGTCAAATTTCCTTAAGGCAGTACGCAGTTCTTAAGAAATTTACTACGCTTTCAACTACGGTTTTCTAAAGTTTTTTTTGTGAAAAAAGAGCACAAGGCCACCCAGGCTTGCAACAGAAATATATGCCCGTTCCATTATTTCTTGAGGAAAGAGTGAGGCAACAGGCTGTGAGCTATCAAAAATGTCAAAATTCCTTGGACACACACACGAAATAATGGCAATTTTTTCTTGACCGTTTTCTTGAGAGCTGCAAACAGGGCTTTAAGCACCTAACCCGCTTAAGTACCCAACATTTTTGGGCACCGTGAATTTTTTAATGTATTCTGAAGAAAATCCCTCTTTTAAGTACCTCTCCGCTTATGTACCCAACCCGCCTAAGTACCTACATTTTTCGTACCCCATTTACCATTTTACTTATAATTTTTCCCTTTTAAGTGCTTTATTTAAATTTCCTCAAACATTTACATATTTTAAAATTCAGTGGCAGCGCTACACACCTTCGGCAAAAAAATTTTAAAAAATCAACGGTAATTTTTAGCCACTTGAAACTTGCGCATTATTACACTAAAATTGAATGGGCTATGAAATTGTATACTCATAAAAAATTTTAACACTTCTGAAAAACAAGTTGGAACTGACATAACAGTATCTGTTTTTTTTAATAAAGTTTTCCTTTATGTGTTTACGAGTTTAAATAATGCTACGATTTTGGTTTAAAATACTACTTCATTAAATGTTCATGTGTTATTCAAGGACTTATTATGTAAGCGGGTTCTTTTAAGTACCCAACCCGCCTAAGTACCTCAAAAAGCTGACATTTTTCGTGAGGTACTTAAGCGGGTTTTACTGTAAATCCTGTGGGCACTGAGTTCATTGGTTTTACGAGCAATTCGGCCAAGGATAACTGGGCGTTTATCAATTTTTTATGTCAAAGAAAAATTAACGGATTCGGCCGTACAACTAATATTTGGCTAGTATGATTCTTCTTCGATATTTAGGAGAAATATGATAATACTGCCTATGATTATATCTCGAGGGCGTTGTTCTCAAGCGGCATCGATTCCGCTGCTGTTGCTTGGACGAAGCAATGCTGCATGAGAGGAAATCACTTTGTCTTTGAGCAAGAGTCACTCACTAGAATCATGTAGTGTGGTAAAGAGCAAAATACACAAAACAAGCGGCTTGACAAACCAAGCGAAATATTCCTTTGCTTCAAGCAATTTGTACAATACAAATTTTTTGATTTTCTGGCCGCCATGTTCACGTTTGGTCGAACCGCTTGCGTCGTGTATGATAAATTCGCCTTATTTGCAACGGAATTTTCACCGAGTGAGGACGTAAGAGAGAAAAATGGAAGAAAAACATACTAATTTTTAACATTGCTGAGTCTAATAGCGTTTTCTTTCTCGAAATAATGTTGCATTTATTCTGCCCTGCACCAGGGATGTTAAGTTTTGGTGTTCTTTTCTCAGCATCTTCACAGGCATATTGCGTGCTCTTTCTTTAAAATGTTGCACTCTGAAAATGTTGCCACATAAGAAGGTAACATTTTTTCGAGAAAAGAAAACGCCTTAAGTTGACTTAGTATGGTATGGTTAGGAGTCGTAAATTTGTTCTTTCACCACTACCTAGGGTACAATACCTTTCGTTTCGTTTTTGGGTACGAGTAACTTGTAAAAATATATTTATCAGGAGTCCTGTATTTCTTCATTCCGAAAACGCTTCAATTACCTTAACTTAATAGTCATTATTGTTCCGAGTGAATGGTATACCCTTTAACCAGAATTGCAAAATAAGGAACAGAATGCATGAATGTATGCGCATACACAAATACATGCATATGTATGTATGTATGTACAATGCATCCGAAGAAAGAAGTGTTAGAGATGGCAGAACTTGTTTGGCGTATCTACTTTTGCTGATATGAATTTTTGCAAATAAGAAACTATGTATGTATGTATGTAGCTGTGCAGGTTTCCAACTGGACTCCATACATACATACATACATACATACATATGTACATGTAAGTATGGACATACATGGAGTACATATGTATGTATACGGACGTACATATATACATACATATATTTAGTATTTGTATACAAGTATGCACTGGCTTGCACACACAACGCTGCCACAAAGGGCTGGGCTTCAGTAACAAAGTTCAGGATTTATTAGGACACAGGTTATTTTTAGTTTTATCTAAACGTGTGGATGCATTGGAATTATTTGTGAAATTATTTGTTTGTATTTTTGTTTTATTTATAAAAATTGTCTCAAGATGATAATAAGTGCACACCAACACACTCAAGTAAAAAAGGGCACAGAATTTCGTTCAAACACGATTTTACAATTTGCTGGACACTAAACATTGAAACACTTAATTTTAAAATCTATTCACCTTGTTCTTCTTGGTCGCGTTTGTAACGATTTTTGGCAACTGATTATATGTAAATATGTATGTTAATAAGATTTTTTTTTTGTTAAGCACCCACGCAAAGTATTTAAGATTTCGAATTTTGTTGAACGTTAAATGATTAAAGCAAAAAAAAATGATTCCGTAAATAAAAATAAAAATATTCCTGTCTGCAACTATACCGATTTCGCGACGAACAGCGAAAATATATACACAAGTGTTGTAAAATATGAATAACGACCAAACAAGATGATACACCACAGAAATGCGTCCGATTCCGGCGGGTTGTTGCTCTCGACTACGACACGAACGAGTGAAGTTGGAGCAACTTAAACTATTGGCTTGCGGCGGGTTGGCCGGCTGGTAGAGAGCTGCACCTCCGCGATGCGGGCAAGCTGAATCAGACACAGCAACAGCAACAGCAACAGCAATAACAACGATAAGAGCAACACGAATGCAACATTCTCCATATCAGCAACAAAACCGTACATGGTAAAGGGGAGGCGATGAGGAGTGGCTCGATTGGATTCGAGCAAAAGCGAAGAGCGCAGCGGAGTGTCAGTGGCGACGGAGTATCAGCGATAGCGAATGCCGGCACTCCGTATAGTCATTCGACATAATGCATACACAGACTTACAAATTCACCCATACATACATATGTATGTACATAAATATATGCAAGCTAATCCTGGAGTAAGTGTGTTTGTGCACTGCAAGTGAGTCAAAATGAACACTTGGTGTGGCATCGTTGAACTGACGCTAAATAAAAGCAAAAATCACAACGAAAAAAGTAACAACTCAAACAGCGTTAAAAGAAAGCAGAAAAACTGCAATGCAGCTGGCAAAATAAGGCAACCAGCTCAACAACAAACCAGCAACAATAACAACTTAAGAAGAACACAATAGATTTGCTGCACGTGTTGGTGGTGTGTAGCCAGCAATTTCAAAGAATGTCTTCCTTCAGCCGCTTAAGGGTTAACCGGCGGCTATGGCATAGCTACATATATTTTACATACGTACATACATACATATGTACGAATATGCGCATGCAAGTGCCAAAGGACGATTACAAACTTTAAAATTTACCAGCTGACGCATGCCACTCCTGCATATCCATTCACTCATACTCTTGCAATATTTGATTCTCTATGTCCATATTCGTGGGAGTATACTCCGACCCTGCAGGAAAGGTTTGCCATTGTTGAGTCACTTTTCCCAAAAATTTTGGCGTTGACGTAATTGCTGTCAGCAACACCTCACAGATTTTTATATAGGCAAAATTTGATAACACGAGATCTAGAAGTTTTTATGAAACCTTATAAGGTTATCTATCGTAAAATGTGTATGCATGTATTTATGTACATATCGAATAGCAAAGTTTCACTCACAAAATCACGATACAATGCATTTATGTATTTAGAATTTAACCCTTCGATGGTCACGTGGTAGATATATATTAGTTACACCAATAGTCAATTCAATTTGAATTTAAATTTTTGTTCTGAAATAGGACAAATAATTATGAGAATATAAATGATAATATAGAATCATATACATTTTTGGAACTTTTCAATCGCATGGGTTAGATTTTAAGACAAAATATTTTTAAATTTAGAAAAAGGACCAAAAAAACAAACTATATCCAGTTTTTAGTGTTTTTGAGAACAGGCACTCAATTAATTGAATAAATACATTTATTTATTGATAACAATGAACAAACTATTTTTCATCGTAACAAAGCATTAAAACATTTCACTTAAAAAACCAAAAGCAAAATTCCATCCAAAAATAAATCGATTAGAGGCCACTGAAATTAGGCAAATTCTACTCACTTACACAAAATGTGCAGGCATTCTTCATGCGCGTTTTGCCAGTAAAGCTCCCAAAACTCACACATGCCCTTCGGGAATACTTATTCTTACTTCGAGGGCAGATATGAAAACAGCCGACATAATTTGCTCTGGCTGGAAAAAACATAGCAGCGCTCGTTTCCAATGGGCAGTTCGTCCAAACGTCTCAAAAACACTGTAAAATTCTTGGGCGTCTCCGCTTATCTTTGTTTTGGTTCTGACATAGTTTTGTCTAAACAATATTGTTGTAACTTCATGAGTATGAAAAATTAGTAAATATTACTTACGTTTACCTATCAAAATAATGAATTTAAAATATAATGTTGAAGCCAAAACTAAAACGTCTACATATGTAGACCCAGTCATGTTTCAGGCGTGTTACAATTTCCACTCGATCCCCCTTAGCGCACCTAACACACTGATTATGTGAGCACACGTATTAGCAACAGCTACTGAATGGCGCAACTAGCTTCTGAAAGAAAATTAAAAGATAGCTCTATTTTAAAAGAAGTGGTCTGCGATTGTAGACCACGTTACCATTGCCGGGTTAAGAGAGTAAACGTGCATATTGTCCGCTGAGTGGAAGATCGCCCTATCTTGGCAAATGGTTGAAGACTGCCCAATTTCAGAATTTATTTAAAACAAAGCCCTATCTCAGCAAATTGTTGCAGAATGTCCTCCTATCCCAGAATAGAAACAATTTAGGGAAATTGAATAGCTCAGAGCTTTACACAGCCTTTTTTTTTGCAGGGTGATAGCTCCTATTGAGTCGGATAGGTGCGGAAATGAACTTGAGAGAAAGTTATTGTATTTACACTCACTAGCCCCACAGGGAGCTTCATCTAAGCATAATGACCCTGTATTTTTCATCCCACACCAACATTCGGTAAAATCCCGCATTGCAGACGCCGGAATTCACATATGTATGTGTGCATGCATTCACATATGTATGTATTTGCATATGCTTGTATGCACAAACACATGGGCGCATAGTCAATGAGTGTTTGCATTTTTAGTTGGCTTTGCTGCAGACAGTGTATGCATACATTTTTGTTAATTTTAGTGCTATCTCCACTAGCATTTTTGTTATTTGTATGGGGCTGCCATACAGACTTAACTTTATACACATATTTACATATGTATGTACATATATATGTACATTAGGCTGGGTCACGAAAATAAGGCCCCTATTGTGTGATTCACAACTTTGTATATAGTTGAGTTGTAAGTTGCAAATTGGTCTGCCAGTTTTCTGACAACAGCTTCCTCGGGCTCATTACTATATAATTAAAATAACATAATGTTATTAAGATATCTAAATTTTTATCGAATTGCCGACTATTCCAATGGCTACGGTCAACTGAAAACAGCACGTGAACGGCAATAGCAATAAATAAGTAATTGAGTTGTCTCATTGTTAACCATAATAGGGGCCTACGTTTCTAATTAATCGCCGTAGTTTGAAAGCTTACTTCGATAAGTTTTTTGCTTCGTGCCCTGTTCTGCCCTGGGCCTATTTCATAAAAGTGACAGGTTCGGCAATTGTCGATTTTTCAATAAAATTTCACAGCCAGAATTGTCGGCGACATTTTTTCTGTTTCATATACGCTTGTAGGCAACTGTGGAAATTTTTGGAAAGCGCCAAGTGCAATACTGCAATATTGTCGACAATGGTGATGACAATTGTCACTCTGACAAAATTGTCGCGACAATAGCGTCAAAACTAAATAGCTCCGTCTGAATGTTTTCACAGGAGAATTTTGTAAATTATTTATTCATGTGGCAATTGCGCGCATTTCATTATTTTTCAATAATTTGAATATTTCTTAAAACTAAAATAATGCATTTGCAATTATTACATATGAATTACATATAAATTTCATGTGACTAGGAACAATTTTGTCAACGACAATGAAAATTTGTCACTTTTTCCATAAATTTTATCGTGGAATTGAAGCGTTGGTGACAATTGTTTTTATGAAAATGCTGTCGGATTGTCACTGACAATACGAAAAATGCTCGTCGTTACAGAAGCCTATTTCATAAAGTGACAGTTACAATTTTGTCACGATAGGCATTTTTCAGTGACAATTTCAGTGACAATTCGACAGTTTAAAATTGTCGTTGACAAAATTGCACCACCACCATTGTCAAATAATTGTCGGCAATATTCCAGGCATTTATGAAATAGAAAAAATGTCGGCGACAATTCTGGCTCTGAAATTTTCCTGAAAAATCGACAATTGTCGCGCTTGTCCTTTTTATCCGCCACTGCTTATAGTAATTTATGAACAAAAAACTTCGATAAAATCAGTTTTTGCTTTTCAACAAATTACTATAAGTGACCATCAAGTCAAGGTGCACGAATGGTATTTTCAGGGATAGTAGTCGAGAGTTCTGGCTTTAGTTTGAGCCCAAAAAACCGCAAAAAACGTAGACGATTTTTTTTTAAATTGTCTTCTTTTTGATGCAGGAAGGCATCCGGATGCTCAAGGAGCACTTCTGCATCCATAAGAAAATTAAAAGAAATGTCGCTTACTTTATTTTGGCTCTTGAGGCTCGATATACGATATATTTGTATGTATGTACGTATTGCAAATTTGCCGCAAGAGTGTCGTAGCATTTTTTTTCGGAATATATAAAAATCGCTAATATTAAAAGATAGTTTCATAAATAATTGGGTATTGGAAGTCTCCTAAAGAGAAACAGAGTTTCCGATTGAAAAATATTGATTTTCAAGAATTCTACGAAAAAGTATTTTTCCCCTATAAAACACATGAAAAACTTTATGGGCTTTGAGGCAGTTCTAAACATATTTTTTGTTGTTAAAAAAAAAATACGACCATTGTTTTTTCAATTTAGAAAAATCCTATGGGGTGAAAGCTTAAAATATTAAAACTTGTTCCCCGCATGTATTTTTGGACGACCCTATTGTGCAATGAACAGTTAGTTAGTTACTTAGTAAAATAAATAGAATGGAAATTTATTTAACACGGTTGCTTTTGGTGGAAACAATAAAAAACAAAGCCAATTTATTAACTGAAAATTTCATATTAAGGAGCTAAGGAGCAAATTAATTTTTTTAGCTCTTTGCTCCAGCTCCGTTTCAGCTAAAATCCCTTGTTCCGCTCCGCTCCGAAGCCCTGCCGGTGACAACACACACATACATACATAGTACATGTTGATCTGTACAAATCTACTAATCGCGTAAATTGAAGTTCAACATTTGAAAACATATAAATATTTCAAAAATTTTAATTATGGCGCTTAAGCAGTCTAAGTGCAATGTGTTCACCAAATTTGGTTGAGATCTGTCGAGTTGTTTTTGAGATACACATATATCATATAAGTAGGCATTTTCCTTAAATTTTTTGAAAAGCCACAATACTCAAAAAATCTGAAATTCCGGTACATAAGTCGCCTAAATTCGGCAATTTTTATGCGATTGCAATAAATGAGGTATCAGTTT